TATTTGGTCCCCACTGAGAGCTGGTCTCTAGTGAAATAAAGTTGTGCCAGGCTTCTGTAGCTGAAGGCAGGGCCGGCCTTTGGGCAAGGTGAGCGAGGCGGTTGCTTTGGGCCCCATGCATTCAGGGCCCTGCGCTGCCCTGCTCCAGGACGCTCACTCGCTGCCCTGACTGGGAGCTGCGCGGCTCAGCCAAACACAGCGTGCTGCCTTGGGCCCGGTGAACTCTTTGGCCCGGCCTGGCCGAGGGTTCTTATTTCTTTTTTATTGCACATGAGATACATCCAATAATACACAGACAAACATGTATCAAAAATAAAAAACCCGACATTCCAAGGCTACAGAAATACAAATATTGCTTTTGAGGAAGTTGGTGGGGTATCCTTAGGGTTTATGGAGCTCCACAGTACTATTACATCGGTGCCCCTATGTCCTATGGCAGCCTGGGGGGATGTTAATTTTTTAGAGATGTGATTTTATGATCTTCAGCAACACACAAATGACACATTTTAAGACAATTTTCAAACTAAGGTCTTGTTGACTAGCACAATAAATTCAGAAACGGGCAGGACATTCCTGAGGGTTCCAAACGCATTCAGTGGCTTCCTTAGCTCGTGAATGGCTCTTTTACAGGTTCAAAGTTTGCTGATATCTCTGACGGGCTTTTTCCCTTTTACGTTAATCCTCTCCACAGGAAGCAGAGCCAAATAACAGGGATAGGAAGAGGTGGGTGGGTGGACATTAAGACCCAGCAGTGCCCCAAATTTTCAGGTGCCTTACGTAGCTACGTATTTTGCATATGGGTAAGGACAGCCCTGGAGATTGGCTTCTTTTTTTAACCATTGTGCCCATGTGACAAGGTGAGGCCTTTGTCACAAATAAAAGGAAGTTCTTCACACAGCACATAGTCAACCTCTCAAATTCCTTGCCGGAGGAGGTTGTGAAGGCTAGGACTATAACAGGGTTTAAAAAAGAACTAGATACATTCATGGAGGTTAAGTCCATTAATGGTGATTAGCTAGGATGAGGAAGGAACGGTGTCCCCAGCCTCTGTCTGTCAGAGGGTGGAGATGGATGGCAGGAGAGAGATCACTTAATCATTATCTGTTCGGTTCACTCCCTCTGGGGCACCCGGCATTGGCCACTGTCGGCAGACAGGATACTGGGCTGGATGGACCTTTGGTCTGACCCAGTATGGCCGTTCTTATGATATTCACAAATCCCAAGGCTCGAAACAGTCAACACCTCTCTGAAGATTAAATAGACATTTCTCTAGAATCCCAGTCTTCCCTGTTGCAGACTTAGCAAAGACCTGGCAGTTGCGCCCAGCTTGGCAACTTGATAGAAGTTCAAAGAGTAGAAGTGCACAGATCCCAGCACACAATGTCCTACCCCAGTGCAAGCAGTCCAAACACACCACTGCATCTTGGGACCTGTAGCCTCTGAGGTCCTTACATGAGGAATGCAGGATATTTGCAGGATCCATCCCAGAGCTACAGAATAAAAGACAGCTTGTAGGCTGTATGCACACAGTATGCCTTCCTTTGCGTTCCACACAACACAGCTGTTACCAATATGTTACCTTTCCAATTCAGTAACATTCCGCATTTCTATAGTGCCTTCTTCCAGCTGAGTCACTCAAAGCCTTTTCGGAAAGTGGGTAGCTCTCCTTCTGCGCTTTCACAGGCAAATCACAGAGAAATTAAGGCTCCGACGCTCAAACCAGCCATTCATTTGAATTCATATAGAAATAGAGAATTTTAAAAATGCTTAACATAATTTTGCACAACTGTGAAATTTTAAATGGATAAAAATAGAAAATAGCTTAAAAATAAACAAGTTCAGCAAAAATTTATTTTAAAAAGTTGAGTTCTGCCAAGCTTGCCTATCAGATGGGGAAATTCAGATGGCTACACACCTGGATCTGCACAGCAGAAACAGAAGGCTCACAGTGCTGAGGCACTTGGGTAGATAATGGTATTTGATCCTCACTGAAAGCTGTTCTCTAGTGAACTAAAATTGGGCCAGGCTTCCACAGCATTTGAACAAGAGGCACCCTGGAAAGGACAGAGGGTTTTTATGTGACATGACTATAGCTGCAGATGGTCTGTTTTTCAAATGGCGATAGCTGCATAATGATTTAATGTAACAAGTAGGTATTAGGGTTAATTCTCACCTGTTCACATGACTGAAACCTGTCAATAAATCGCTGGCTTTATCTGGAGTTTTACTGCAGCAGAATCTCACTAATCCACACTCAGAAGTAGAGGGCTCATTGTAGATCAGTTCGCAGCTTGAGAAGCAGCATAGTAAAAAACTGTGTAATTTACAGACACATTTTCTTTAAAAAAATATTCAGAGCAATTTTCAGACCTCACTTCCAAGTTATTAGTTAGTGCTGAGCACTGTGGGAAGACGGCAAGCACTTCGTGTTCACAGTATAGTGTGCAGGTGAACGTTTCTGCGTAAGCCAATCCCTGTTCACAGAGATGGTTTACACGGGGAGGTCACTAGAGCAGCCTTCAAAGTTGCTGTACTAATGTGACAGCTGGGAGGACAATTCTTGTGGTTGTTTATTCCTGGAACATTTAAAAAGACTGTTATGCTTTCCAGGGATGATACACTAGTCTGATACCCTGTCATCATGGATGGAGGTCTCCCACCCATCCCCACAAACCCTATAGGGAGAGACAGACAGGCATCAGACAGGTGAAGCCGCCTTTCCCTTCCTGTCAGCAGAGCTGTGACCCATCCCCACAAACCCTATAAGGAGAGACAGACAAGCATCAGGCAGGTGAAGCCACCTTTCCCTTCCTGTCAGCAGAGCTGTGCAGTTAGCAGAGAAGTAGGGGAGGAGTGTTACACCAAGGCATCATCTACACTGGCACCCTTTTCCGGAAATGCTTAAAACAGAAGTTTTCCATTGTAAGTATTTCCGGAAAAAGTGCGTCTACATTGGCAGGATGCTTTTCCGGAAAAAAAGCCCCGATGGTCATTTTTGCGATCGGGGCTTTTTTGCGGAAAACACTACTGTGCTGTCTACGCTGGCCCTTTTCCGGATCAGTTTTCTGGAAAAAGGACTTTTGCCCTAATGGGAGCAGCATAGTATTTCCAGAAAAGCGGCTGATTTCTTACAGTAGATCCTCAGTGCTTTTCTTGAAATTCAAGGGGCCAGTGTAGACTGCTGGCAAGGAGTAAGAAGTCAAAGGAAGAGTGCTCTTCCTTTGACTTCCTGCTGTGTAGTCAGTGCCAAAAGCTGAATTAAGCTATTTCAACTTCAGCTATGTCAATTGTGTAGCTTAAGGGGGAGACAATATATCAGCTGATGCAGGGACTAGGTTAATGATGTGCACATCTGCAATGGTAATTTCTAAGTCACACTGCAGCTGGATGTGTCCTCCTCACCTCCCATCTCAGCTCATCTGGTGCAGGGCTTTGACAGGGTGAAGGAGGAAAGAGAGGACAGGAAAGTGGGGAAGGAGGAGGGAGGCTGACTGAGGAGGAAGGGCAAGGGACTTGCTGCATAGTCGCTGTGACTCACATGAATGCATGAGGTTCATAAGCATGCAATAACTGGACTGGAGGTGGAGAGTTCCACCTCCCACCAGCCCACTCCAGAGCCTCGCAGATTGGATTCCTCCCACAGTTCTTCCTAGCTGTGCCCCTGGTCCTGGTAGATGGGAATTCTTTCCCCCAGTCCTGCCCTGGGTTCCAGGGATCAGATGGATTTGCTTGCCTTCCTCAGTCCTGTCCACAGAACAGAGCATTCATCAGTGGTCTAATCCACCATTGCAAGATTCCTCTTTGAGACTCTCCAGCCTCCTGCTCCCCACAGTGACCTGCCTCCTCTTCCTCCAGCTCCTTGCCTGGGTCTTTAGCCAGCATGAGAGGCACACTGGCTTTCTAGGATGCCCCTGCAGCTTCAAGGATGGGCCCAACCTTTTAAACACTACATCGCCTACCAGCCTTTTTCTTGGTGCTACCTGTTAACCAAGTTCACAGCTGAGGAGTCTTACCATTTTTTATTGCGCATAATGTACATCCAATAAAACCCTGACTACAGTGTATCAAAAATAAAACACAGACATTCCAAATGGTACAGAAATACAAACACTGGTGTTGAAGAGGCTGGCTTCTTTTTTTTACATTGTGCCCATGTTACAAAGTGAGACCTTCACAGACGCTGAAAAGACACAGCACATCTCTGAAGATTAAATAAATAGAAGTCATTTAGTTTGGATCCAAGTCTTTCCAGGTGCAGGCTTTGCAAAGGGCTTGGCAGCAGTCTAGCACGGAAACTAGAGTAAGTCACAAGGCGTGATGAGGAATGAGTAGGAGGCACTGAAGGTGTCCAGTGGTCACTGCAATATAACATGGTATCTACTTAAAAAAGGAGGCGTGGGGACACAAGTTGCCCAGGCTACCTGGCAACATGACAGGAGTTCTAGTACCACTTGTATTCTCAGAAAATGGAGCAGACAGTATCTCTAACAAAGAGGTCTATGTGGCAAAGACTACAGATCCCAGCATGCAGTGCTCTATCTCAGCCAAACACATCATTTGCATCTCAGGACCTGTAGCCTCCCGAGTATTACCACGGTAATACTCCTTACCACGGTATTAACTATAAGGACTCTTGCGACACATCACACATCTATAGAGTTAAGAGGGCTTGTGGACTGTATGCAAACAGTATCTCTTTGCATTCTCCACATCACAGCTGTTACCAATACGTTACCTTCCCAATTCAGTGACATTCCACACTTCTATAGCGCCTTCTTCCAGCTGAGCCGCTCAAAGCCCTTTTGACAGGTGGGCAGCTTTTGTTCCCCTCCTTTACAGGCCAAGCACAGAAAAAGAAGTAGGAAAACAGGCAGAGGGAGCACATCAACTGCATTCTGCTGCTCTGGTAGTGCTAGTAGTGGCCTTGGTGTTCCAGAGATCCTGCAGACACTCT